TTTTAACCACCAAGTGTTGCTGACTGACAGCGGTGAAGATTTGGTGTTTCAATGGAAACTGTGAAGCTCAAGCTTTTGAGAGACAGAGAGCTATAAATGTCAGAGACAAACCACACTGTACATTTGACAAGCGATCACAAAATAATACCCATCAAATAAATATAGACAAATCAAACATGCTTTGAGCACAGAAACAGACTTAAGGAGAGGGCATGCAGAGAAATTAGGATCATCCACTATTCAACTTTGATTCATTCGGATTCTGGTTTCAAATCAAATCAAATTGTATTTGCCACACGTGCCGAATACAACAGGTGTAGACATTACAGTGAAATGCTTACTTACAAGCCATTAACCAACAATGCAGTTTTTAAGAAAATAACAAAACAATTACAAATGTTAGGTAAAAAATAGCAAAGTAAAAAAAATACAAAAATAATAATTAAAGAGCAGCAGTGAAATAAAATAACACTGCAAATAGTCAGGGTAGCCATGATTAGCTGTTCAGGAGTCTTATGGCTTGGGGGTAGAAGCTGTTAAGAAGATTTTTTGACCTAGACTTGGCGCTCCGGGTGGTTTATGTTTTAATTAATGATGGATGTAATTATCATTGAACAATGCTGCTGCATTGTGCAGTTATTTGATTTATTTTATGGTGAAAGGAATTGCTAATAAAACATTGCCTATGGTGGCTTGACCTACTGTACATGTAGAAGAAGTAAACAGCTATTTGTTTGTTATACATTTGCCTTTTGTGGTATGGCCTGTTGTTTTATCTGATGATTTCATTTGCATACAAAGTGTGTGTGTGTGCGAAATTATGCCCACCTTCCTTTGCGCTAGCTGTGGCTATACTCAATAATCTCTCAAGATACAGTAACATTGATAAAGTCAGTGCTTGCCGTGCGGTAGCAGAGAGAACAGTCTATGACTAGGGTGGCTGGAGTCTTTGATAATTTTTAGGGCCTTCCTCTGACACCGCCTGGTATAGAGGTCCTGGATGGCAGGAAGCTGGCCCCAGTGATGTACTGGGCCGTACGCACTACCCTCTGTAGTGCCTTGCGGTCAGAGGCCGAGCAGTTGCCATACCAGGCGGTGATGCAACCAGTAAGGATGCTCTCGATGATGCAGCTGTAGAACTTTTTGAGGATCTGAGGATCCATGCCAAATCTTTTCAGTCTCCTGAGGGGGAATAGGCTTTATCGTGCCCTCTTCACAACTGTCTTGGTGTGTTTGGACCATGATAGTTTGTTGGTGATGTGGACACCAAGGAACTTGAAGCTCTCAACCTGTTCCACTACAGCCCCGTCGATGAGAATGGGGGCGTGTTCAGTCCTCTTTTTTTCCGCTGTAGTCCACAATCATCTCCTTTGTCTTGATCACGCTGAGGGAGAGGTTGTTATCCTGGCTCCATACGGCCAGGTCTCTGACCTCCTCCCTATAGGCTGTCTCATCGTTGTCGGTGATCAGGCCTACCACTGTTGTGTCGTCGGCAAACTTAATGATGGTGTTGGAGTCGTGCCTGGCAGGTTATCTTAGTGTCCTTGGGCACGGGGACTATGGTGGTCTGCTTGAAACAGGTTGGTATTACCGACTCAGTCAGGGACATGTTGAAAATGTCAGTGAAGACACTTGCCAATTGGTCAGCGCATGCTCAGAGTACACGTCCTGGTAATCCATCTGGCCCTGTAGCCTTGTGAATGTTGACCTGCTTAAAAGTCTTACTCACATCGAGAGCGTGATCACATAGTCATCCGGAACAGCTGATTATCTCATGCATGCTTCAGTGTTGCTTGCCTCGAAGCGAGCATAGAAGTGATTTAGCTCGTCTGGTAGGCTTGTGTCACTGGGCAGCTCGCCGCTGTGCTTCCCTTTGTAGTCTGTAATAGTTTTCAAGCCCTGCCACATCCGACGAGCGTCAGAGCCGGTGTAGTACGATTCAATCTTAGTCCTGTATTGACTCTTTGCCTGTTTGATGGATCTTCGGAGGGCATAGCGGGATTTCTTATAAGCGTCCGGGTTAGAGTCCCGCTCCTTGAAAGCGGCAGCTGTACCCTGTAGCTCAGTGCGGATGTTGCCTGTAATCCATGGCTTCTGGTTGGGGTATGTACGGTCACTGTGGGGACGACGTCATCGATGCACTTATTGATGAAGCCAGTGACTGATGTGGTAAACTCCTCAATGCTATCGGAAGAATCCCTGAACATATTCCAGTCTGTGCTAGCAAAACAGTCCTGGAGCTTAGCATCTGCGTCATCTTACCTCTTCCTTATTAACCGAGTCACTGGTGCTTCCTGCTTTAGTTTTTGCTTATAAGCAGGAATCAGGTGGATAGAGTTATGGTCAGATTTGCCAAATGGAGGGCGAGGGAGAGCTTTGTACGCGTCTGTGGCTTGTGTAAAACACAATGATGTAGCTAAGTATTTTAAAAGAAACCACAAAATGTATCCTTACATTCTTCTAATCATAAGATAATTATTGGTTAGTAATAAAAACATTCATTTATAACATATGTTACGTTCCCCAGCAAGAAAACCAAAAATTGTCGCTCAAACAGAAAGGAGAAGTAACAAAGAGTCACTGAAAACAACATAAACTAAACAGGTGGGGTTTTAGGAGGGGTTCTGAAAGACACTCATGGGTGTGTCCACTGAAAGTTCAAAGTAATGTCAATGTTACAACCAAAATGCAAACAAGTATTCTGCCAAAGAACTTGTTTTATCACCTGCCTGATTGCACTACACCACTGTGTTGGCCCCACACAAAGATACTGCAGTGCTCACACTAATCTGACAAGTTGTATTGGAACCCAGACGCGAAGTTGCATTCATGGGGTTGGTTCGATTCTGATTCTGTGGCTTAATTCTGTTTTGCCTTTCATACACAAAGGCATACAAGAAGGGGTTCAAACAGCTGTTGATTAAGACCAGAGCCTTGGCAATATCCCCAACCATCCACCTAAAGGATTTAATGTTGTCGTAGTCCCCCGGATGAGACGTTCTGACTAAAGTAGTTGCAATATCTACCACATTGATGATATTTACAGGCATCCAGAATATAAAGAAGGTCACTAAAATGCTGGTCACTAGATTTGTCATTGTCCGATGCCTTGAGACAGCCTTTTGATGTATTGAGCATTCCTCTTCTGTGCCCACTGGCTTGGTCTTATTCACTTCAAACCTCTTCTGGAAACAAAAGTAACATGTGGCCAGGATGGAGAAAGGGATGACAAACCCAAAAATAGTCTCCATCAGAAGAACTGACACTTTCTCCCAATTCGACCTTGTACTCCTTTGGCACCTCAGCCGTCCCCTCTTGAGCTCAACCCCTCGAGTGAAGATGATGGGGAAGGCGAGGACACACACCAGTACCCAGAGGCCCACCAGCATCTTATTATGTCGCTTCTTGAGGTGTAGCTCCTTGGAAGTATTGCTCACTGTGTTTCTAGTCTTATCCTTCACAATGCAGTGCCGGTGCACACCTATCAAGGTGACATTCAGAGCACTGCCATACAAACAGCAGTACAGGCCATAGGTGGAGAGGCCACACATCCAAGGACCAAGGGTCCATTCATAGGTCAGTACATAGATGACCAGAGGGATGGTGCTGAGGGACAAAATGTCTGAGACAGCTAGGCTCAGGATCAACTTCAGAGAGAAGCTCTCGTTCTCCTTCAGCTTCCCGTGCTTTATTTTTTTAGCAATGGTGATGATCACTGCTATATTGCAAGGCAGTCCCACTAGGTAGCACAGCCCCAGAATCAAGCAAGGGGCTAGAACATTATAGTCCCTGGAGGTATGGCTGGAGGTGAGGTTGCAGTCCAAGATGGTGGTACAGTTGGAAGTAAGGTTCCCATCAAAGGTGGAGGAGGAAGAAAAGTTGGTCGGCTGCATGGTGAAATGGCTTTGTGTTAGTATTCCACAGCAGAGTGAAAAGAAACAGAAGTAGTAGCTCAGGAAAATAATTTGGTTCATGTTTTGAATGAGTATGACGACATCTACTCCTCCCCCCACACGCACTTGGTTCACCAACCAAATGTTAGCCTACTTGGCACCTTTTCAAAAATATTCTATACATTGTGTATCACCTGAAGCATTTTATATAATTTAGCATTTGTAAAGAAGATGCATATTTGAGGGCAACAGTGGTAGATAGATTACAGGGAAGGAAACTGTCCTCATACTAAAAATGTTTTGTAGAAAATAAACAATCTGTGGACATTGTCTATCCATTTTGCTTGCTTATTGATATTATGGTCAGTAGTTGCCTGACAAAACTGATCCTGGAGGTTAGAAGCTCTGCTCTACTCCATTCCCAATGCTCTGAATATACTGGACAGTTATAGCTAGTTCCGTTTTAACCTTGTCTTGAGCAGTGTGTAGGCTATTCAATTTTTACAATGCTATCTTGTAGGGCCAGCACCTGAGACATAGGAGATACTGTATATATATCCATGCCCACCTAACTCTCTGGCCACCATCAATATGACCAAATTCAAAACCTTGGCACCATTCATTTTATTTTTACTTCTACCATTCTTTCTCAGCATATGACCCATTACCAGCATCATGAATTAAGGTTTTGACTACTCATTGGAGATGTTAAAACCAATGACCACAACTGTTGTGTAAGTTGTTGGCACAAATGATGCACTGGCAGTACAAGTCTTGCATTCAATATAAGTCTAGACATGCAGTCATTTATGGCCACTAAGATGAAAGTTGCCATATGAACAATATGCTTAATTGACAAATTAACATTCTATACATCACTATTGAATAGCCATATGGTGATAATTTGGAATAGACAAACTTCTGTAATTTGTTTAGACTGGTGTAATAGCTACGCTATCACTGGTATTGAAACAGCAATATGACAATCTGATCAGTATATTAAAGAAAAATGTTTCTTAGTTTCATGTTTTAAAGCCATCTTTAATTGAAAATAAAAGAACTCCTTGGTAATTCATTAAAAAGTAAAGAAAGACAATGACAAGAAAGTATGTTACAACGACTAAAAACACACGGTTTTATTTTCTTAACACATCTACACAAACATACAAATTCAACTTTTGTGTGAATACAAAAATGTTTCATGTCACAAAGTTATAGTTCTGTAAGAATAAAAAAGTTGACAGAAAAAGATTAATAACATCATCTTATTTTCTATACAGATCAATATTCAAATGTGTAGTACTACTGGGTACTCTGTTTAAAGGTAGGTGTAGTGAAATCCAGCTTGCCCCTTTTCCTCTGCCCAGACTGAACTCACAGAGACAGTCCCTGCTCACCACACTCAGGTTGTAGGGACTTAATTGTAAATTAAGTTGAACCTGCAAGAAAAATAAAGTTTGTATTGTGAATATACCAAATAATCTATAAACAATGCACATGTCTGTCCATCTTCAAGTTTACTGAATTGAATTTTGTCTTATGAAGTACAGTATTTCATATTATGGTGAATATACAGGAGTACCTTACCTGCTCAGAAGCTGTGGGAGACTGGATATGATTGGCCCGTAGCCTGGCGCATTGTCATACAGCTCAAACAGAGGGGCAGCCACCAGCTTATAGTTCTTGGGCACTGCAAACAGTGCTGGGAGACAGACAACAGGTCAATATCCACACCCACTCACAGACACACTGCAGAGTATATAAACATAATAACTACACACCAACATGAGATCATCTGCTTAACTGTTACATACAGGTTATAACCACAGCCATCAACATCAATCAATCGATATGAACTATGTCACAGTCAAACATTACAGGCTGATCAACTTACCTTTTTCCTGCAACTGAACAAGGAACAGCTTCTTGTGCTCCTTGGGTTTGGTAATGTGTGCTGGGATGTAGGGGTACTGTAGATAAAACAGAAAAACACATACAACTTAATGGATTCTCATGACATCGATACATTCAAATTCAAAAGGCCAGCATAAGTGTGAACGGCTATGGAAACCAAGAGACCTGGGACAGGTCAGGTGACTCCTCTGAGTCACCATTAGAGTAAGAGGACAGGAAGGACAGCACACCCACCTGTGGGGGCTCAAAGTTGGGTCTCCACCAGTTTCCAATAGAGTCATCAATCTCCCAGTCCTGCTTCACCCCATCCTGATGACCCAGGATCTGGTAACGGACATGAGAAGAACACAAACATGTTAAAACTAACCACTCGATCACACCAACAGCGTCATTGCGCAAAATGGTACGCAGCATCATCTGGATATGTGTGCAACAAAAGTTCAACCTTCACCTTCTGCTACAATTTCTGTCAAGCCGTCTACACAAACAATTTGATGAATAAGTTCGATAAATCCAACATATGCACCACACAGAACGCACTGCAACTGCCTCTGCAACGCAATTCTGCAAGGCAAACGCAGCGTTCCATTGGAAATGAATGTATACTGAACAAAAATATAAATGCAACATGCAACGATTTTACTGAGTTACAGTTCATATAAGGAAATCAGTCAATTTAAATAATTTCATTAGGCCCTAATCTATGGATTTCACATGACTGGGCAGGGGTGCAGCCATGGGAGGGCCTGGCTCCCAAGTGGGTGGGCCTATGCCCTCCCAGGCCCACCCATGGCTGCACCCACTGCCGAACCAGACCCAGCCAATCAGGATGAGTCTTTCCCCACAAAAGGGCTTTATTACAGACAGAAATACTCCTCAGTTTCATCAGCTGTCCGGGTGGCTAGTCTCAGATGATCCCGCAGGTGAATAAGCCGGATGTGGAGGTCCTGGGCTGGTGTGGTTACACATGGTCTGCGGCTGTGAGGCTGGTTGGACGTACTGCCAAATTCAATTAAATGGCGTTGGAGGCGGCTTATGGTAGAGAAATTAACATTCAATTATCTGGCAACAGCTCTGGTGGACATTCCTGCAGTCAGCATGCCAACTGCACGCTCCCTCAAAACTTGAGACATCTGTGGTATTGTGTTGTGTAACAGAACTGCACATTTTAGAGTGGCCTTTAATTGTCCCCAGCACAAGTTGCACCTGTGTAATGATCATGCTGTTTAATCAACTTCTTGATATGGCACACCTTTCAGGAGGATGGATTACCTTGGCAAAAGAGAAATGCTCACGAACAGGGATGTAAACAAATTTGTGCACAAAATGAGAGAAATAAGCTTTTTGTGCATATGGACAATTTGTGATCTTTTATTTCAGCTCATGAAACAAGAGACCAACACTTTACATGTTGCGTTTATATTTTTGTTCAGTATACTTCTGGTGTACCAAAATGCAATGACGCTGTCGGTGTGATTGAGGCGTAATATCAAGTATCAGTCTCTATGACTATGCATGAGTGTTTGCCACCACAGAATTCTCCAGAAGACAGGCAGTCTGGCTAGTCATATGGTTAACCAGCTAAAATGAAACTGAAATAATCAGCTTCTCCATCACTCGTGGTTTTACTCTGCAATTTCTTGTTAATGTGTTACCATTCAGAAGGGCTAAGTTCAACCCTTTTACCTAGAATGTGATGGCAAAGTGGTTTTATTGTGCTAAATTTCCTTCCAATTTGCAACAGATTGTCATGCGAATATTCTAAAATGTGAATAAAACATTATGCGCATTTTCCCCCACCAGTGTGTGTTTCCATCAAACTGACTTTTTGTGGATAAAAGCCTGTGCGTAATGATGTAGTTCACATAAAAATTACCTTTACCGTTAAAATCATGTGCTGAATGAAAAATACAAGTTAAATGGGTTTCCATCGCATTTTCAACTCTACTGATGGTTTTGTCACAAAAACTGTTGCGTTATATAGCAGATGTGCCCACTCTGGTCTTGCCACATGCGCTATATCCAACAGCTCGCTGTTACAGTGCCGGTAGGCTACCTACATTTACATTACCTACATTATGAGATTATTATGGATAAGTGCGATATTGTTTGTATTTGTCAAACGGTAGCCAAGCATCGATCATCATGTCACCAGAATAAGACCCTCGATATTTATTGGAAAGAAGCATCAAGCTCATCACCTTGCATATTCACCACCCTGTGAAGTTCATAACTTATTTCATCTGTAGCCTAATAAACCGCATGCTTTCCTGAGTCGTAGTGGAAGGACCTCACAACATATCATCGCTTGACTCCAAGTTTACTTCGATATATATATGTATATATAAACACAACAATTCCAAAAATTTTACTGAGTTACAATTCATAAGGAAATCATTCATTTGAAATAAATTCATTAGGCCCTAATCTATGGATTTCACATGACTGGGAATACAGATATGCATCTCTTGGTCACAGGTACTGTAAAAACAAAAAGCAGGGGCGTGGATTTTAAAAAAGTATATCTGGTGTGACCATTATTTGCCTAATGCAGCACGACATCTCCTTCGCATAGAGTTGATCAGGCTGTTGTTTGTGGCCTTTGGAATGTTGTCCCACTCATCTTCAATTGCTGTGCGAAGTTGCTGTGTATAGGCGGGAACTGGAACACGGTGTAGTACACGTCAATTCAGAGCATCCCAAACATGCTCAATGGGTGACATGTCTGTTGAGTATGCAGGCCATGGAAAATCTGGGAAATGTTCAGCTTCCAGGAATTGTGTACAGATCCTTGCGACATCCTTGGGGCCTTGCATTATCATGCTGAAATATTAGGTGATGGCAGCGGATGAATGGCACGACAATGGGCCTCAGGATCTCGTCACAGTATATCTGTACATTCAAATTGCCATTGATAAAATGCAATTGTGTTCGTTGCTCGTAGCTTATGCCTGCCCATACCATAACCCCATCGCCACCATGGGGCACTCTGTTCACAATGTTGACATCAGCAAACCGCTCGCCCACACGACGCCTTACACACTTGTCTGTCATCTGCCCGATACAGTTGAAACCAGGATGAATCCGTGAAGAACACACTTCTCCAGCGTGCCAGTGGCCATCGAAGGTGAGCATTTGCCCACTGAAGTTGGCTACGACGCTGAATTGCAGTCAGGTCAAAACCCAGGTGAGGACAAAAAGCACAGACGAGCTTCCCTGAGACGGTTTCTGACAGTTTGTGCAGAAATCCTTCAGTTGTGCAAACCCACAGTTTCATCAGCTGTCCAGGTGGCTGGTCTCAGACGATCCCAAAGGTGAAGAAGCCGGATGTGGAGGTCCTGGGCTGGCGTGATTACACGTGGTCTGCGGTTGTGAGGCCGGTTGGACGTACTGCCAAATTCTCTAAGACGTCGAAAGCGGGTTATGGTAGAGAAACTAACGTTAAACTCTCTGGCAACAGCTCTGGTGGACATTCCTGCAGTCAGCATGCCAATTGCATGCTCCCTCAAAACTTGAAACATCTGTGGCATTGTGTTGTGTGACAAAACTGCACATTTTAGAGTGGCCTTTTATTGTCCCCAGCACAAGGTGCACCTCTGTAATGATTATGCCGTTTAATCAGCTTCTTGATATGCCACACCTGTCAGGTGGATGGATTATCTTGGCAAATGAGAAATGCTCACTAAAAGGGATGTAAACTAATTTGTGCACAACATTTTAGAGAAATAAGGTTTTTGTGTGGATGGAATCTTTTATTTCAGCTCATGAAACATGGGACCAACACGTTACATATTGCGTTTATATATTTGTTCAGTGTATATCAATATTTGCGCATAAAGGTGTTTCCACCGCCATTTCTTGCATATTTAATTATACAGACACAAAAAGATCCCACCATGTCGAACGAACAAATTGTCAGCATTTATACAATTGTACCGGCATTTAATGTTTCCATCAGCACAGTCGTGATTTTTTTAATGCGTCAGGTAATTCATCCGCATGAAATGGTTGGATGGAAACGTGGTTAGTGAGAAGCCCAGTTCATCCTGTCAGAGCTGACAAATTGTTTCCAACCTCTATGCCACTCCCAGTTTTCCACCAAAGTAAATGGAATGGTTTTGATGTCAATTAGCCAACTGTTCCAGGTGATCAGGTCATGTTTCAAAACTTTTTGGTTTTGTCCTTACTGGACTGTGCTAATTCCATGATACAATCAAGCTGAACAAAGACCATGTAGCCTACCTCTGTCATCAATCGCTTCAGTCCTTCCACTTCATCCTCACCTGCATTCAACTCTCCACCAGGACTGCGCACACACACAAGACAATTCAGTTTCAGAAACACAGCTTGATCACTTTTTATTGACATTTTAATCTATGCTCCTGTCAGTTAGAAGTGTCAACATTTTCATTGTAAAATGCTTACACATTAGGCCTAAGTCAGTGGTTTGCCAGCAGAACAGCAACTGGTACCATGCATGAAAATGTATGCACTCACTAACTGTATGTCGCTCTGGATAAGAGCGTCTGCTAAATGACTAAAATGTAAAGCAACATTAATTCTGCAGAGGTAGGATGAGAAACCAACTCACAGTTTGAAGAAGGTTGTCCCCAACTGCAGTAGTAGAACGTGTGGTAGCCTGTGCTCGTGCACGATCAGAACCCCCTCCACTGCCCTCCTTATGCCTATCTTTTCGAACTCCTCGCGCATCCGCTCAAATCGAGCCCCCACAGAGCTGTCCTTCTCGTAAAGAGGTTCCTTTGTACCAAACGTGTAATTTGTAAGGGGATATCTGTGAGGAGCAATCACCATAACATTAAAACAGCTAAATTTGTCAACACATTGATAAGAGTTTATGCAGCTAGCTACGTAATTTTGGGTTCCGTATTAGGCTTTACTCCACAAATGGGAAATGTTTGTGTGCAACATGCAAGAGTACTGTGTGTGTGTGGTAGTTGCCCTGTTTTTTAACGTTACTGCATCACATTCAGAAACACTAACTAGAAACCCAACACTTACAATTAAATGTAACTAGTTTGTTAGCCTGTTAAATAACAGGTACAATTGCACTTCATAGCTATAGCTAGCCACGTACAAATTGATGGTTCTCTCCAGCGTGAGAGGTTTGGACAGCGGGCTCATTTCGATCTGGTTGAGTCCACGGCGTGGCCAACCGGTAGAAGATCGGTTGGGAGGTCCAACCGACATCGTTCCACTAAATTAGCAGGGTACAACTCTGTAAAAATACGAAAGCTAACAGTGCATAGAATGAAGAAAGAACATTAGATAACTGAACCAAAGATTCGGAACACTCCTCTTTCCTTCAAAAACATAAACTATTTCCGGCCGCCTCAAATAATTACGACATATATGATGAGCTACGGCTGCCGGGATGCGTTCAGTTGGTTTAACATTGTGCTGCATTTTGCAACGGTACATACCAAATGACACACTTCCACAAACTCTTCTTAATCTTCTAGGTATGCTTTTTTCCGTTTGGTAGGTGTTGCGGTATGCGACCACTGATTATGGTGTGACCTGAAGCTGTGTAGCAGTACATGTTAGTAGTAACATTATACCCAATTGCGTCTGAGCAACTTGTTTGAAACAATTTCCATTCAATTAAACGTTGGCTATATTTCGTGCATCCTGAACGCAGCCCTGCTGTTTTAAAGACAACAGTCACTTTCCGGACAATTGAGGTATAAAAATAGAGAATGATAGAGGCCTCTATAGTGGCCAAAACACAGTTTTAGCATGGTCAGCGCCATTGAGGGCTTCCACCATGCTTCCGCCATTTAAAAGTAGTCAAAGTAGTCAACTGGGCAGGGATTCTTATGGATTGTAGCCCAGTGGAGGTCGGTGCCATTTAAGATGAGAGAGGAGGATCTTATTTTTAATGAGCATGGCCTTATTTCTATTACTGCATACTGGATGACTGTCATTCATATTCCATTCACCCAACTCAATGTACAGTAACTTTGATAGGTTTAGGCTACTAGTTAGTTAGCTGAATAAAGTAAGTTGAGTCTATTCCTTGAAACATTGAACCGCTGTAGTTTACAACAATTCTAATTTCTAAAGTGGAAGTTGGGAGAGTTTTATTCGGGTGGTTCAGTGAAACAATTATAGTTTCTGAGGTGGAAGTTGGGAGAGTTATATTTTTTTGGTGAGGGAGGCCCTGCTCTCTCCTTTCCCAGATGTTTAGTTCATTTCATTCCGATCTCCTCTGCATTATTGTAGCCATCTGCTACAGCCTGTCAACTATGCCTCTGCCTATCCCTGTTCTCTCCTCTCCGCACAGGCTACACAAACGCCTCACACCGCGTGGCTGCTGCCTCTCTAACCTGGTGGTCCCTGCACGCACCACACACCTGGAGTTCCAGGTCTCAGGCAGCCTCTGGAACTGCCGTTCTGCTGCCAACAAGGCTGACTTCATCCCAGCCTATGCTACCCTCCAGTCCCTCGACTTCCTGGCGCTGACGGAAACATGGATTACCACTGAAAACACTGCTACTCCTACTGCTCTCTCCTCGTCTGACCATGTGTTCTCGCATACCCCGAGAGCATCTGGTCAGAGGGGTGGTGGCACAGGAATCCTCATCTCTCCCAAGTGGTCATTCTCAATTTTTCCCCTAACCCATCTGTCTATCTCCTCATTTGAATTCCACGCTGTCACAGTCACTAGCCCATTTAAGCTTAATATCCTTGTCATCTATCGCCCTCCAGGTTCCCTTGGAGAGTTCATCAATGAGCTTGACGCCTTGATAAGTTCCTTTCCTGAGGATGGCTCACCCCTCACAGTTTTGGGGGATTTCAACCTCCCTACGTCTACATTTGACTAATTTCTCTCTGCCTCCTTCTTTCCACTCCTCTCCTCTTTTGACCTCACCCTCTCACCGTCCCCCCCCTACTCACAAGGCAGGCAATACGCTTGACTTCATCTTTACTAGATGTTGCTCTTCTACTAATCTCACTGCAACTCCCCTCCATGTCTCCGACCACTACTTTGTATCCTTTTCTCTCTCGCTCTCCTCCAACACTACTCACTCTGCCCCTACACAGATGGTAACGCGCCGCCGCAACCTTCGCTCTCTCTCTCCCACTACTCTCTCCTCTTCCATCCTATCATCTCTTCCCTCTGCTCAATCCTTCTCCCTCCAATCTCCTGATTCTGCCTCCTCAACCCTCCTCTCCTCCCTTTCTGCATCCTTTGACTCCCTGTGTCCCCTATCCTCCCGGCCGGCTCGGTCCTCCCCTCCAGCTCCGTGGCTTGATGACTCATTGCAAGCTCACAGAACAGAGCTCCGGGCAGCTGAGCGGAAATGGAAGAAAACTAAACTCCCTGCCGACCTGGCATCTTTTCACTCCCTCCTCTCTACATTTTCTTCATCTGTTTCTGCTGCTAAGGCCACTTTCTACCACTCTAAATTCCAAGCATCTGCCTCTAACCCTAGGAAGCTCTTTGCCACATTCTCCTCCCTGCTGAATCCCCCCCCCCCCCCCCCCTCCTCCCTCTCTGTGGATGACTTCGTCAACCACTTTGAAAAGAAGGTTGACGACATCCGATCCTCGTTTGTTAAGTCTAATGACACTGCTGGTCCTGCTCACACTGCCCTACCCTATGCTTTGACTTCTTTCTCCCCTCTCTCTCCAGATAAAATCTTACGACTTGTGACTGCAGGCCGCCCAACAACCTGCCCGCTTGACCCCATCCCCTCCTCTCTTCTCCAGACCATCTCCGGTGACCTTCTCCCCTACCTCACCTCGCTGATCAACTCATCCTTGACCGCTGGCTATGTCCCTTCCGTCTTCAAGAGAGCGAGAGTTGCACCCCTTCTCAAAAAACCAACACTCGATCCCACTGATGTCAACAACTACAGACCAGTATCCCTTCTTTCTTTTCTTTCCAAAACTATTGAGCGTGCCGTCTTTAGCCAACTCTCTTGCTATCTCTCTCAGAATGACCTTCTTGATCCAAACCAGTCAGGTTTCAGGACTGGTCATTCAACTGAGACTGCTCTTCTCTGTGTCACGGAGGCTCTCCGCACTGCTAAAGCTAACTCTCTCTCCTCTGCTCTTGTCCTTCTAGACCTGTCTGCTGCCTTTGATACTGTGAACCATCAGATCCTCCTCTCCACCCTCTCCGAGCTGGGCATCTCCGGCGCGGCTCACTCCTGGATTGCGTCCTACCTGACCGGTCGCTCCTACCAAGTGGCGTGGCGAGAAGCTGTCTCCGCACCACGTGCTCTCACCACTGGTGTCCCCCAGGGCTCAGTTCTAGGCCCTCTCCTTTTCTCCCTATACACCAAGTCACTTGGCTCTGTCATATCCTCACATGGCCTCTCCTATCATTGCTACGCTGACGATACACAACTAATCTTCTCCTTTCCCCCTTCTGATAATCAGGTGGCGAATCGCATCTCTGCATGTCTGGCAGACATATCAGTATGGATGACGGATCACCACCTCAAGCTGGACCCTGGCAAGACGGAGCTGCTCTTCCTCCCGGGGAAGGACTGCCCGTTCCATGATCTCGCCATCACGGTTGACAACTCCGTTGTGTCCTCCTCCCAGAGTGCGAAGAGCCTTGGCGTGACCCTGGACAACACCCTGTCGTTCTCCGCTAACATGAAGGCGGTGACCCGATCCTGCAGGTTCATGCTCTACAACATTCGGAGAGTACGACCCTGCCTTACACAGGAAGCGGCACAGGTCCTAATCCAGGCACTGGTCATCTCCCGTCTGGATTACTGCAACTCGCTGTTGGCTGGGCTCCCTGCCTGTGCCATTAAACCCCTACAACTCATCCAGAATGCCGCAGCCCGTCTGGTGTTCAACCTTCCCAAGTTCTCTCACGTCACCCCCCTCCTCCGCACACTCCACTGGCTTCCAGTTGAAGCTCGCATCCGTTACAAGACCATGGTGCTTGCCTATGGAGCTGTGAGGGGAACGGCACCTCCGTACCTTCAGGCTCTGATCAGTCCCTACACCCAAACGAGGGCATTGCGTTCATCCACCTCTGGCCTGCTGGCTCCCCTTCCTCTGCGGAAGCATAGTTCCCGCTCAGCCCAGTCAAAACTGTTCGCTGCTCTGGCACCCCAATGGTGGAACAAGCTCCCTCACGACGCCAGGACAGCGGAGTCACTCACCACCTTCCGGAGACATTTGAAACCCCACCTCTTTAAGGAATACCTGGGATAGGATAAAGTAATCCTTCTACCCCCCCCCCCCCCCCCCAAAAAAAAAAAAAAAAAATACAATTGTAAAGTGGTTATCCCACTGGCTATAGGGTGAATGCACCAATTTGTAAGTCGCTCTGGATAAGAGCGTCTGCTAAATGACGTAAATGTAAATGTAAATGATACTCAAATGTTCCCTATAGACATCATGAGGTTGCTACAACCTAGCCTATGAATGAAAGTTTGCAATGTAGGTGCACAGGTCTAGAGAACATTTTGAGTAATCAAGGTGAGAGACAGTGACGAATTCAATACCGCCTTGCACACTCTTGCCTTCATTTAGCCTATCTAGGGTGCAAACAAGAGTTTCTATTGGATAAATTCAGATATGTTTATCCCCATTTTGTCCCATTTGCTTCTGTTTAACCTTTTCACATGTGAGTTCCAAATATCTCTAACGGTCGCCCCAGCGTGACTTTTAAAAATGTCAGTCTGCACTCACTGTTCCAAAATGTGATTGTTACACAACAGGACAGTTAAACCGCGCTGCCCTCAAACCAAGACTTAATTTCAAATTATTTTCTAACATGTTTTATGTTCTAACAACAGTTTGAATTGATGTGTTGTCTGCCTCCTCATTATTTCACATAGAAGTAGCCCATTTCGCTGTTAAAAATTCAGACCCCTTGACCTTTTCCACATTTTGTTACGTTACAGCCTTATTCTAAAATTGATTTTAAAAATGTTTTTCCTCATCAATCTACACACAATAACCCATAATGACAAAGCGAAAACAGGTTTTTAGAAATTTTAGCAAATATATAAAATTAAAAAAACAGAAATACATTATTTACGTAAGTATTCAGACCCTTTGTTATGAGACTCGAAATTGAGCTCAGGTGCATCCTGTTTCCATTGATCATCCTTGACAGTGGAGACCCGTCATTCAGGGCTGGTCACCTGTTTTGAGCACACATCTTTAGCTAAAAAATTAAAAATATATATATATTTATTTGGCTTGCCTGTTTTGCATGTTATTTTGCCATTAATACGTGTCACACATAAGTTAGCAAACAATGTAAAAAAAAAGTTGAGTTAATAAAGCGCCTTCTTTGCTTTCTTGAGTAAGGCAGCTCCAAATGCAGGTGTTTCAGCCTAGCTCAGTGCTTTCTGTGGTGGTGGGGCAGCCAGTGGAAAAT